CTCCGCCGCTGCCGCCACCACCTACACTGCCGCCACCGAAGCCCCCACTCCCGGTACCACCCCCACCTCCACCGCCACCCCCTCCGCCTCCTCCACCACCCCCCCCGCCACCCCCTCCACCACCCCTTGTCCCCTTGCCCTTGCTGTTGCGGCGTCTCCCACTAGGGGCAGACGCAGCTCCGACCTCCTCAGTGCCAACGAGGTCGACAGCAGCAGCAGAAGCAACAGAGGGGAGAAGGGGGACAGGGGAACACCCCTCAAAGAAGGGGGTGCGACGGTCGCCGCGAGAAGCACCTACAGCTAAGATACTCTTCTCAGCTGCAGCAAGGCGCTCCTCTAGCAGGTCGACAGTCAGCTCGGTGGGGCAAAGGGAGAGAAAGTGGTCCCTGACTGAAGAGAGAGAGTCAGGGAGGCGGGTGACTAGGTAGTAAAGGGTGATGTACATGGGGGGGGGGTTCTTGGCACAGAACTCAGTGGGAAGGGCAGCGCGGTAGCGGGCGTCACTAGTGCGAAGGTGAGCAACTAGGTCAGCGACTGTGGCAAAGGCGGCAAGGTCAGGGAACAGGTACAGCAGCATGAGGCGACTGAGAGCAGCAGTGGCAGGGGAGGAGTAGCGTGCAACTACAGCGTCGTACAAAGACTGGGCAGTCTTGTACTGACCAAAGTGTGCGCGCTCAGCAGGGAGCAGGTGACTACGAACAGCAAGACGAGCAACAGCGTCACGAGTGGTCCACTGCGAGCGAACAGTACTGTCAGCAGTGACAGGAGGAGCAGTGGAAACACCGGACGTGTGGTCGAAAAGGGATACCCCATCCCTAGAGTCACACTGAAGAAAGAGCTGTAGGTCATCAACCCATACGTCAAAGTCAACTGCACGTCCCTCAGAGTCAAAAGTGAGAACTGTAGGACTAGCCATAGCAGCAGTGGAAGCAGTAGGAAGAGGAGCAGTAGTAGCAGTAATAGCAGTAGTGCAGCAATAGCAGCAGTAGCGGCAGTAGCAGCAGCGCAGCAGTAGCAGCAGCGGCGCGGCTCGGCTAGGTGGCGCGGCTCGGCTGGGCGGCTCGGCTCAGCCGGGTGGCGCGGCTCGGCTTACCAGAGACAGGTGCAGGCGCCGGCAGGGGTCGGCAGGTGCTCGTCAGCAGGGTCCGGCAGGGGCCGGCAGAGGCACACCAGGAGGGGCCGCGCGAGTTGGGGCCGGCAGGGGCTCGGTAGCAGGAGCCGGCCGGGGGCGCGCCAGTTGGGGCCGAGAAGGGGGGTGCGCCAGTTGGGGCCGCGACGGGCCGGCAGAGGAGCCGCGACGGGCCGGCAGAGGGGCCGCGAAGGGCCGTCAGAGGGGCCGCGAAGGGCCGTAGGAGGGGCCGCGACGGGCCTTAACAGGGGCCACGATGGGCCGGCAGAGGGGGCCGCGAAGGGCCGTGACGAGGCCGCTGTCAGAGGTCCACTGGTGATCCCCGATTGATCCTAGGGAAGGGTTACAGGCTCGTTGTCCTGGGGGGTTATGGGCGCACTGACCCGCTACTTAACAAGCCCTTTTATCCCAATGGTCTAGTGGTTGGGATTCTGACATGTTATCAGAGCGAAGGTCTCGGGTTCGAATCCCAGTGCGGGGTGGTGTTAGAGGTCCACTGGTGATCCCCGATTGATCCTAGGGAAGGGTTACAGGCTCGTTGTCCTGGGGGGTTATGGGCGCACTGACCCGCTACTTAAAGCGACGGTGCACATTTGCCACCCAAAACCCAGAACCCTGGCGAACTGTTACTGCGGATGGAAAGTGTCCGCACGAAATCCTGGTTTTCACCAACCGGCACTTTCGCGCTGGCAAGCCTGGTTCAAAAAAAAAACTTCTGAACCCAACACTGCCAAAAGTTGCCCGTCGCTTTAACAAGCCCTTTTATCCCAATGGTCTAGTGGTTGGGATTCTGACAGCCGCGACGGGCCGTCAGAGGGGCCGCGAAGGGCCGTAGGAGGGGCCGCGACGGGCCTTAACAGGGGCCGCGATGGGCCTTAAGAGGGGCCGCGACGGGCCTTAAGAGGGGCCGCGACGGGCCTTTAGAGGGGCCGCGACGGGCCTTAAGAGGGGCCGCGACGGGCCTTAGGAAGGGGCCGCGACGGGCCTTAGGAAGGGGCCGCGACGGGCCTTAGGAAGGGGCCGCGACGGGCCTTACGAGGGGGGGGGCGCGACGGGCCTTAAGAAGGGGCCGCGACGGGCCTTAGGAGGGGCCGCGAAGGGCCTGAAGAGGGGCCGCGACGGGCCTTAAGGGGGGTCACTAAGGGCCACTAAGGGGCAGCGACAGGCCACTAGGGGCCTCGAAGGACAGGCACTAGGGCGCGGCTCGGTCAAACGCGACGCGCGCCTCGGGCAGGTAACGAAAAAAAAAAAATCGAGTGGTGGGCCCTTAAAAAAAACGAACCAGCTCTATACCATATTAGAATCGAGAATGGAATGGTTGAACTAGAAACGAGATGGGTACAAGTAGAGAACACAAAAGTGTTGGACCCTCTAAGAACTACCCTACTACAGCCTAAATAGACTATAGCAGATATAAGTTTGACACACTAGTGGACCTCTGACACATTCTTCTGACAAAATCTGGTTGAAGGGTCTTTCATCAGGTCGTGTCTCTTGATGGGATGTTTTATTGCCAAGTGGATGTTTGTATCAAGGCACTATATGAAGGTAGTACCTTGCTTGTTTCCTTGGCGTCAAGAGCCTGTGGTGCACATAAAAGAAGACACTGGTGTCGATGAAAAACAAACATTAGTCCCTCACAGTTCTTGAGCAAACATCGGGGCGTGTACAGTGGGCGTAGGTAGCAGTTCAGAGGCGACGAAGAGTGCAATGTGGGCGACTACCATGATGCTGTTGAGATGCTGCAATGGTGCATCCAAGATTGGTGGTGCATTGGGGAGGCCACAATATGGGATTGTCACATAATGAAAAAAAACTCTCTTTAGATACAAACAACATATTCCAACACTTTTCCTCAACATTTTTGGCTAGCTATCTCAATTCACGTTCTTCATTTCTAATTCGCAGAATTTATAATTCCATAAGTTGTTTGAGAAGTCGATGTAAACAAAATATGCTCATATTTGCTCTAACAATACCTAATGTTAGAATTTGAGATGATTGAATAGGATCGTATTACTTAGGATGGTAGCTTCTTGTCGTAGCGGAAGTCTTGTATGAATTAAAGCCAGTTAAGGAGGCTTTGTCTGAGCTTTAATATGTAAAGCCCATGTAGTGATACGTTTCAGGATCTGTGTCTCTGAAATCAGGTATATTATAAAATGACAAGCATACATAATATATAGCTAGAGTAAAGTACCTTTTCGCCTATTGTACTGTGCTATTCTTGCTATTTCTGTTCTGAAACGGTACGTGACTACGTGCTGACGTCATCCTAGGGCGCGTAGCGCTTTGCTGACGTCAGCCTATCGTTACTTTACTGTACTACACGAATTTCCTTGAAGTGCTTAAGTCTCGATATTATCTCAACACCTAAAAACGTGCAATTCTACACTATTTATATTCCTGGGTTTGGGACAATGTAGGGAATCTACTTTTCCTTCTTGTCATCTTCAGCACCGCATACAACCCTGTCCATTCAGTGCAGGACCGTTCTGTCCCGTTACAAGTTGCGGGTCTTCCATGATCCATCATCAAAATCCAATCTTTGCCCTAGCACGCCAGAATTATTTGAGGCTGAGTTCCTTCCCAGCCGCCACTCACCAAAAGCAGCCGCACCTAACCCCACCAAACCCCACCAGAGCTCGTTCTATTATAAGCATGGTGTGCTACACAATCATAAGTCTGCCGCGTCGGCAGTAAGCCTCCGCACTCGGCGGCGCAGGCACGCCGCACAGCCTTTACCTCTGAGCAATGGCAGCCAGCTTCTCCGCATGTATAAAACCGGACACGATTTTTTACGATTCGTCATGCCATACTCCATTCGAATTTCAAGTCAATCACGCTCTTCTCCTTTTTGAAAATCGCTTTAGTACTCCTCGAGCCTGAGCAAGTGACACCATGGCACGACCAGCTCCCTTCGTCAGCCTCGCGCTCGTGGTCGCTGCAGCGCTGGCGCTGTCATGCTTCTTGTCAGCCCAGGGTACGTTCTCTCTCGCTCTCTCAGTCTATAATGTTCTCTTCCTGGCCAAAGCATTGAGATTTGGCTGGTATCGGGTCAGCTTCAAGCGACGTTCCGTGCGAGTGCATCGTAGGGCCTATTTCACGCCGATGGAAGGTTTTAGGTCAGCCTGAGCAAGCCTGTGACTGGCAATCTTTCTCAACAATGTGCCGAATACGACGGAGATAAAAGAGTGCACTTAGTGATTGCTCTGCACCATTGCTTCTCTTCTCTGCGTCAGGCTGCCACCCTCAGCGTGTGACCCTCACACCCTGCGTCCAACCATGCCGCCACGTCCCCACGCCACGCGAACTTGCTCAGGAAGTGCAATCTGTTTTTGAGAATTCTCAAAAAACAAAAGTGCCTGCCACTCACTCACTCCCTTCCCTAGCCATGTCCCCTCACCCCGTCCCCCGCTCCCCTCCATCCACGCGGGGATCCAAGTGTCGGCATCATGGCCTGGAGGTATCAGTTGCGTCCGAGTCGGAGGTGGTCGACGCGGACTTTTGATTCGACTCAAAAGTCAGCTAGTTGCGTCCGAGTCGGAGGCGGTCGACGCGGCCGTCGCGAGACCCACAGGCATTCATGGCCCTGGCGGTACCATGGCCTCGCCCCTTTCCCCGCCCCCCTCCATCTGCGCGTGAATCCATGTGGCGGCATCATGGCGAGCCCAACAAGCCGTGATGATCATGACGGGGAACGAGGCGAATGCTGCTGAGCACAGCGGATGGGGTAGGAGATGAGCAGAGCCAGCCACTCACTCCGCCCCCCTCACTCACTCCCCTCACCCTGTCCCCCACCCCTCCCTCCCTCCTCCTTGGCGCGAATCAATGCCACGCCGGCATCATCATCTTCGTCACCTGGCGACAGGTGCCGCCTCGGAAGTGGTAGACGCGGCCGTCGCGAGCCCCACAGGTGGCGTCATCACGGCAGGGAGCGCGGCGAGTGCTGCTGCTGACGCGGAGTCCAGTGCGGGGGATGAGGATGAGCAGCGCCACTGGCACCGCAAGCTCATGGGGTCTTTCTCGCGCGGCAGGGCGATGCAGATTATTGCAGCGGATTTCATTAAGATTGTTTCTGGAAAGACGGCGTCCGATGGTAAGTGTGATCATGCCCCAAAGTCCGCAGAGTGTCGATTCTTTCACCAATTAACAGTTTTGCGGTTACAAGCAGTTGCTTCAATCTGCTGTTACAAACTACAAAGTAGCTGGTCATCACGGAAAAGGAACTGGTGCGTGCTTCCCATAAAGAGTGTATCAGTGAGCATCCATGCACGCCCCTAGAAAGCTTGAATGTGAGGTGAATATTTGGCCGTCCATTCGCTCTCCCCCTTCCCTCTTGCTGTCGCCCATTTGCAGCCACCCCGGCTCCGATGTGAAGACGACTGATTGCAAGAAGCCCAAGGGTTTGTGTTTTGATCTAAATCAACAATCTCCCACTTGTTGTCGCCCATTTGCAGGCACCCCGTGCTCTGATGTGAAGAAGACTGACTGCGCGAAGCCCAAGTGTTGCCTTTTAGTCTCCCCTTCTGCCTCTCCCACTTGCTGTCGGCCATTGGCAGGCACGCCGTGCTCTACAGTGAAGAACACTGACTGCGCGAAGCCCAAGGGTTTTTTCCGCCGCCGGCAGCCCAGCCAGGAGGAGATCCGCGTGTGCAATGAGAAGCGAGTGATCCAGCTCCTGCAGTGCGGGGGAGGTGCATCGTGGTGAGAGGGAGGTGCATGCTGGTTGGAGGGCGATATTTTGCGATACTGTGTGTGGGGTGTGGTGCAAGCATGCTGTGTACATACTCTCATGAAGCTTTGTGCATGGGAGTTTCGTGTTGCGCAACTCCGTGCCATGGGAAGGCCAGTCCAGTTGTTCCTTTGGAGCCTGCAAGCCTTGCAAACATGTCAGCACGTGCCTTCATTCCCACACCTTCCAGCACGCGCCTTCATTCCTACACATGTCAGCACGCGCCTTCATTCCCACACCTGCCAGCACGTGCCTTCATTCCCACACATGCCAGCATGTGCCTTCATTCCCACACATGCCAGCACGTGCCTTCATTCCCACACCTGTCAGCACGTGCCTTCATTCCCACACATGCCAGCATGTGCCTTCATTCCTACACCTGTCAGCATGTGCCTTCATTCCTACACCTGTCAGCACGTGCCTTCATTCCCACACCTGCCAGCACGTGCCTTCATTCCCACACATGCCAGCATGTGCCTTCATTCCCACACATGCCAGCACGTGCCTTCATTCCCACACCTGCCAGCACGTGCCTTCATTCCCACACATGCCAGCATGTGCCTTCATTCCCACACATGCCAGCATGTGCCTTCATTCCCACACATGCCAGCATGTGCCTTCATTCCTACACCTGTCAGCATGTGCCTTCATTCCCACACATGCCAGCATGTGCCTTCATTCCCACACATGCCAGCACGTGCCTTCATTCCCACACCTGCCAGCACGTGCCTTCATTCCCACACATGCCAGCATGTGCCTTCATTCCCACACATGCCAGCATGTGCCTTCATTCCCACACATGCCAGCATGTGCCTTCATTCCTACACCTGTCAGCATGTGCCTTCATTCCCACACATGCCAGCATGTGCCTTCATTCCCACACATGCCAGCACGTGCCTTCATTCCCACACCTGCCAGCACGTGCCTTCATTCCCACACATGCCAGCACGTGCCTTCATTCCCACACCTGCCAGCACGTGCCTTCATTCCCACACCTGCCAGCACGTGCCTTCATTCCCACACATGCCAGCATGTGCCTTCATTCCCACACCAGCTATACCATTTGCAGTGCAGAGTCTATGCGGGCCCCTCCTAGCTTCTGTGCACGCATGCTCTGATGTGGGAATGAATCGTGCCAGACCTTTCGTCCCCCCCATTCCCCCTCCCCCCTCCCCCTTCCCTTCTCCCCCGTCTGCCCCCCACGTTGTTGGTCTCTGCAGAGCCAATGGCTGCTAAGAGGAGCACCCAGCAAGAGCAGGCGGGCCTGCTGCCAGGGATGGGAGGCTGTAGGAGCGTTGGGGGAAAGACAGGGTTCTTGTTCAACGGATATTAGTCTTGTGATCATTGGGCTGTGGTCATGGGGGTGTGGTCATGGGGGTGTGTGGTCATGGGGGTGCGCTCATGGGGACATGGTCATGGGGGTGTGTGGTCATGGGGATGTGTGGTCATGGGGGTGTGTGCTCATGGGGGTATGTGCCCATGGGTGTGTGCTGGGTGTGTGCTCATGGGGGTGTGCTCATGGGGATGTGGTCATGGGGATGTGCTCCTCATGGCCTTAAACCTATTGAGCGGGTGTGCACCATTGATGGTGTGCTGGTGCTAGTGTTTGTTGAGATGGTGTCTAATTAAGTTAAGAAGTTTGACAGTGTACAAATTCTGTAATACCGGTAAGAGAATAGTTTTGGCGGCTGCTCATATACAAAAAGGACAAGCTGGTGAGAGCTAGCACGTGGGAATAAAGTTGGTGCTGAAATTGGCTGCACCCTTCCATATTGGTATCGGTACATAGCCTAGCCACAAGTAGCATGACTGCAAGCTGGACCACCCTTTCATCACGACCGCATGCAAAAGGCACTGTTTAAACATCCCACCCGTTCTCAATCCCTCCCCTTTCCTCTACTTCTAACCGCGATAAATGTTCTTGCTACGTTATTGACCTGATGCACATGGCAACCCCATGAATGCTCCCACCTGGATGCAGTATGCCATAGCTCCACTTCCTCCACCTCTGCAGGCCTCACCAAGTCCTCGCGAACACAGTGCACCATCAAGCGGGAATCACCCTTTGCTGGCTTGTCGTAGCCCCCCACTGCCACAAAGCCCATGCTGACATACCCCTCTGGAGGAATTAGCTTCCATATACTGACTGGATCTTGTGTCTTGGTCACTCGATTCCTCCACACCTGAGACATTTGAAATGAGTGCAGAACATAGTACCGTATCAGAGGTGGGGAGGGTAACTAGTAGGACACTGTCAGGTTGTTTTCTCAAGCCACTCACAAGAAGGTAGTCCTTTGGCATGGCGAATGCGCTGGCAGAACCAGCAGCTAGTGATGCTGGCGTGATGGAGTGCACTCGCACAGCTGGAGGGGGGGTCAGGCCTCGCCATGCCACATCCCCCAGGGAGGTGTACCTGCATAGGCCACATAACCATGAGACTGACTTCTGGATGTATCACACACTGATTTCCAAGAAGAAATAAGCTCCGGCATCTGGCCTGGCCTACCCTTCTGGAGGCACTGGCTTCCAAATCGCAAAATGCCCAGCTTCAGAAGCATCCTGGCACAGGATTGAGAGACAGACCCATCAAATGTTAGTGAGAACAACTAAAAGAACTGTCAAAAACTGACACAGCTAGTCAGAGAAGTAAAAGTAACATACTCTCTGGCAAGAAGAGAAGCAGAAAGATGGTCCATCCTCGACCACCCATGCACGAATGAATGTATCGGTCTCGACATGCGATGGGAGGGGCCGAGAGGCCGAGGACGCCAATGCTAGGGGACGGGCCATGGTAAGCGGGTTGGATTCGCTAGAAGACAGTGCACGCAGGCCGATCGCCAGTGCCGCCTCTGAGGTTCGGACACTGTGCTGGCGAACGAACCTCCTGGACTGTGTTGGCTGGATGGGCCGGGCTGATGAAGTGGTGAGAGAGAGAGAAGACCGGCTGCTCGCAGCGGACAGGAACGAATGATGAGGAGTCTCCTTCGGGTCCTGCAGAATAAGCACAGACAGAAGTTAATTGCAAGCAATTGGAGATAGTGAAGAGAAACTCACGTTGAAGAAGAAAATACCTGCGCTGCTTCGATATTGACAGGCTTGGGACCATAGGTCTCAAATGCTGACGCAATGTCAGCCAGGACGTGCTCAGCAGGATGTGACTCAGGACAGCGGATGATGGTGTAGAGGCGTTGAGGTGTAGGTTCTCGTATGTGCACACAGACCACTGGCCGAGGGAAGCTAGGAATGGACTTGGTCTCCAATGCAAGCAAGTTGTCCCATGGAACATCCCAACGCACAAGGGATGGACCTTGCACCAGTGCCAGTGAGTCAGGTTGGCCAGCTGGATCCACAGGGCACTGAGGAGATACGAGATGCAGGTCAGAAAGAAGGAAATGGAGAGGATGGGCATCACGCAGAAGTTTCTGCTAACAAGGCAGCAAAGTGAAGCATGTGTTACATAGGAAAACCAGGTTAAGCAGGTTCAAGAATTTCAGGGAAGAAACCACCGACAACATGTTGAAATGTGATGAACAGTGCAATTCTACCCACCTTGAGCATCATGACTCTGCGGCTGGTGATTAGTAGGATGCGGCAGTTGGGCAGAAGAATGTGATTCACGTAGGCATCTGATAGGGCGAACTTGGAGTGGTCCCTGAATATGTCATGTTTGCCGAAGTATGAGCCCGCTTCAGCTAGGAACAACACCATCTGAAATAAACGTGTTATGAGGGCATGCGAGGATAGCAACAGACATAAGAGGGCGCACCAGTAACAGCAGAACTGAGCAGGCTGGGAATGAAAACGAACAGAAGGTAGGGAGTTGGAAGTGATGCCAAGATGAGAAAACGAGGGCAATTGGAAGGAGACAAGAGAACCTGGCCAACTGCGCTGTCCTTGCTGTATTCCTGAACAACCCCATCAGCAGAGATCGCCCTGGGCAGACGCAGCCGCTGCAGCTGCGGCTTGCGCTGCACCATGCGAGCGCAAGAAGCAGTAGACGCATCCACGCCAGCGACAAGGAACGCCAGAGAGTGCAGACAGCCCGTCACTGGATGCACCACAAGCCCTGCCAAGCCCTTGCTGAGCCCAAGGAGCAGTCCTGGTGGCCCGTGGGTCTCATAGCCAGAGCGAGACCGGACGAGGACATTAGCCACCCCTAAGGCCACTCCTTTCGCCATTGCTTCGGCGCCATAAAGAAGGCCCTCTCCAACGTTGTCCAGCTGGTTGCCAAGAGCCTGCGTACGCATGGAGAGAAACGATGAGGAGATGTTGATATAAAGCAACAGGGTCAGGTTCTCCTTCCACAATCATTCACACTGAACATGATTCTGTTGAGCACCGATGTTGAGCATCTAATTCAGAGTGAAGGCACCACCATTACCTGCTGGAAGTGCCTGTTGCTCATGTCCTCCTTATGTACGAGCCTCGAAGCTCCATGTCCGAGAGCAGTGAGAGTAGAGCTGATGACTCCCAGCACGTCTACACCGGACAGCAGGCGCAGTGACTGGTGTAAGAGATCCCGCAGCACATGCCGCACCACTGCCTCCATGAAGATGCTCCTGCGCAGTCGCCCTGACTCGGCTGTTGCCCCTGACAGCCGGACCTGAGGTACATACAGAAGGGCAGATACGCAACAAAAAAAGAAACTCAGTCAGTCACCCAGAAATCCGTACATGCAAGTAGCGTTGCAGTGCAAGGCTGTGAGTTTAGCATTGCCTGTGCATGTGCGTACATTGAGGATTTACTCACTGGCATGCGCTTGGTGTTCCCTGCTGCAGTGACAAGACTACTCCATGAGCCAAGGAGCTGTGCAGGCCGGGATGTCGGGGCAGCTTCAAGCGTGAGCTTGAGGTGAGCACCCGAGACGACTAGGTGGCTGGAAAGTTGCAATAACAACACACAAGGAGAGTCTCACAACATCAAGGTGAGATGGTTAGAACCTTGATATGAGCAATACATTGCAGTGTCAAGTGGACAGCTACTGTATTCTTAGGAATTTCCAAGCCCGTGTGGGATCAGCATAACAAGCGCACAGTGACTCACTCTATGCGAATCATTGGGTCGAACTGGACAGCAGCCACTGCCCCTCCGTCAGCACCAGCAGACTCCGGTGCAAAGAAGTGCTCCCAGCAAATGCTCTCCATAAGCTCCCACAGCCGCCACACAATGGCCTCATGTACATTCACTTGCCACGGCTCCTGTGCCAGCTGCGGACATGCAGACGAATGCAGGCAAGCAATGATAAAGAGCAACGTATTCAAGGAACAGAGCATGCTTGACAAACAGCATGGAAAGAGGAAATGAACGAATGGAAATACGACTATAGCAATGGCATGACACACCCAGAGCGTGAGTTTTGGATAGCAGACTTCGTCTTGCTTCATGCTGCCACGAGATGAGACAAGGAACTTGAAAACGTAGTCCTTTTCAGGCATGCCTTTCTGCTCCAAGAACAGTAGCACTGGCAAGGGAGACAGAGGCAGCTGGTTATCAATGCGTAGACTCTTCAGAATCAGCTTCAACCTGCCAAGAAAACACAGGAGAGGTAAGAAACCTATGGAGGCAAGAGAGCAGGGGCATGCTCCCTGCTTGTATGCTTTCTCCTACCATGGAGCCCCACCTGCTTGAGTCATCTTGCCCATCGTAGCGGTAGTTCAGCAGGAAACCTTCTGAGAACGCATACAGCAACTCCTGAGGTCGCTGGTCAATGATTGACAGCCCCACACTCATGAGGTCCAAACTGATCTCCATTCTCGAGCCCTTGTTCACGGCATTGGCGCTCTGCTGCCGCTCAAAAGTCGAGCCAGCAGGTGCGGCCACCTCACCATCCCTCTGATGCTGCTGCTGCTCCTCCTCCCCAGCCATACCTCCTCTCTTCATGAAGCGGATGATGCGGACACTGTCACAGTCAAATGACTGAACGTGCAGGCATCCACCAGCAGCAGGTAGAGGAAGCGAGGCAAGATCTCCTGGCTCTGACAGATCGTACAGCATGGAGCCTGGAGGATGTGCTCTTCTCTCTAGAGAATCTCCAGTGGACTCCTCATGAGTGCAGGCAAAAGCCTCCAAAAAGTTATTCCCGCCTGGGTCTTCCCAAGCAAACACAACAGCTGACTTTGGCAAGACGACCTCCCATGCTGTAACGGGTAGACCACTTTGCCGGAAACAGACAGTGTGGCTGGAGTGATTCTCAAGCCTGAAGTGAGGAAGAGAGACATGTGAATCAGAAATGGGGAAAAAAGGAATCAGGCAGGCAAGATTCAAGAACCAACCTCAGCCCTTTGGTGAAACAGGAAATCATAGCCTCACTCACTTGAATGGAAGGTGAAGACCACCGAACCGAAATGATATTATATGCTTGGACGTGGCCCCTCCAGATCGGGCGTCTATTCGAATGAAGTGGAGGGAATTGTCTCTCAGCAGTCGCACAACAGCGATCACCTCAGCATCCACTGAAAGCTTGAGCGGATAGCTCCACGTGGATAAGCTGGTACGAATCTGCAACGAGCAGCACATCACAGCACCATATAAGAAATTTCCCAGAGACAAGAGGGCAAAGAAGTGAAGAAAGAAGTGCTTGAGCATGGGCCTGGCAGTCACACCTGGAAGGTGTCTGTTCCAAAAGCGCGTGGGTAAACAAGTGGCTTGTGCCAGTCAGATGGAGCCAACTCCGTGATATGCTCCTCTGCCCCTGGTGGTCTCACAAATACTCGTTCTCCTAGTCGATTAGTGAGAGTGAGCAACGGTCGGACCTTCAACACCTGCACACAACGAAAAAAAGGTTAATCGCGTTTGCATGCGTTGGGTCTTACAGAGCTGGCAAAAGCTAGAGATTTCACCTTTGTGGCTTGAGAGCCGAAAGGGCTGACGTCCATAAAAGCCACAAGTGGTAGGTATGAGCCATCGGCTGCTGTGGCCTGTGAGTTGCACATTGTGCTCTGGAGCACAACACAGAAACTTGTGTCAGCATGCAGAGTTGCTCCCATATGGCAATTGGAAGCATACATGTGAGATAGATTGTCAACTGGAAACAGGATGTGATGTGATATTCTTCACCTGAGATTGAACAGCTGCGATGGACAGGTCAGGCCCATACTCCTCCACGCCCCCTGAGCTAACCAATGCAAAGCGAATGACAGAGGTGTCGTCACATCGAGACAGCATCAATGTGCTTCGTCCCTCAGTCCCCACGTGCACCACTTCGTCCTTAGAAGACTGACTCCGCAGCAGATTCATTGAAGTTTTACCATCCCACTTGTGCTCTGTCCATGCCCGTTTGAAGGAACCACTAGCTATGGCAGCAACGGAAGACCCATGAGACAGGGAGAGGACCAAAGGTGGGCAGCCAGCTGTGTCTACCCAGCAGGGAACTGAGAAGACCACCTCCTTCAGCGTGCCAAAGGTGGTAGACCAAGTCCGATCGATGGACACTTGAAGATGCCTGAAGGTTTCATGGGAATAAACTAAAAACGTGTGTAGAAGAATAGGAGCAAAAATGGTTGACAAGAATCCAACAAAAATATATACCTGTGAGTATCCTTGTGCATCAGAGTGACTTCTGACGGAAGAGGCTCTTGAGGGTGAAAGATTGACATACGCTCCTGCATATGCACACACGAACGGACATCAGGAAAGGTCAAGGTTACTTCCACAGGCTGCTGTATCGTTGTATGAAGCAAGTGCCTGTAAGCTCACATCGGATTCTTCTCGTGGAACCCATGAATCACGAATCTTCAGACACACAAGAAGATGGCCCGTTGGGTGTACAGACAAGATGCCCTTCTTGGCTCCAGGTTCCAACACCAGACCATTTTCCTTCAGCAGAACCTCAGTGGATGGAGGATCAGAGCTCCAGATGGACAGAGTGATTGGCTCTGGCAACAAGTTGCAGAAAGTCATGGCCGCTTCTGCAACAATCTCCCAGTCCATGGTTGGGGTGAAGCTTGCCCGCTTGCTTAAAGGGGTGCCAATCGACGCCACCTGCATCCAGCGGGTTTCTGGGTGCTCACTGTCTGTTGATGATCGCTGGCAGGATAGCAACTCTTCAGTCTTCCCAAGGGTTAGCAAAGGGAAGTCTGAAAAGGGAGGAAGTGCCTGCTTTGAGATGGAGGTGTCCTTGAGGACCTTTGATGCATGCTTGTCAACAGATCCCCATGAGAATGGGTTCGCAGTGGCTTCAGAATCATCAGATGGTGCAACATACGGCCGAATTTGGATGCACGGGTCAGTCTGTTGTGTTGATGCAGGTGGGACCGGAAGAGGAAGAACGTCGCCTGGTTCAACCAAGCCACAAAGCACTCGACCTGGGGCTTTGGCGAGTGGTGACTGTTGCCGAAATCACACCCACCGCCTCCTTCGGACAGTATCAGGGAAACCTTTCACCCGATGTGCAGTGCCTCTGGGTGGCCAAGACGCCTCCAGAAAGCTTGGAAAGTACGCCCACCCATCCTTGTCCACGTGCTCAGAAACTTCAATGTGCCAGTTGGAACTCCAGATCCAGCCAGCAGGCAGCTCAGGCTCCTTAAAACACTGCAGGACAAAGGTAGAAATGGCTTGGTAAGCAGACATCGAACAATCAGTTGGAGTAAGTTGCACAGTGCTTAAAGCCGGCGGCCCAAATTGTTCATGCTTTTAAAAGTTGACCAGAGGGAGTTTTTCTGGTGTGGGCTTTGGCGAGAGTTTCCGATTTCGTCTAGGTTCGTTTTTTTCGCGAGACCCAGCCAGCCCTCGGTTTTCCCCCTGGTGAGTGAATCTGTCTTCGAAAGTCCCAAATTGCAAGTGCGTGACTTTCAAAAGCTTGGACACTCAACTTCGTCAAGTTTTAAAAACTTGACCCTCGCGGCCCGCAATTTGGGACGCGGGCTTTAACAGCAGCTTAGGGTTACCTTTGAGGACGACTTTGATTTGGAGTCACTCCAACCCTTGGGGTCGATTGGGAGAAGGTTAGAGGAGCTCCAATTCAGAAAGGGCAAATGCCTTTCGTTCTCAAAGATCTCAACAACTTCTACTCCACCACCTCCCTCGTCCTGAGAAGCACCTTGCCTTGCTCGTTCTGATACAGCAGCATGCACAGTGGTGCTGCTGTGCTCATCAATGGAAGACTGTGACAATAGCGAGCGTGGGCACAGACAGACCTCCAGTGTGGCATCTGTCTTGTTCACTACAGTCACCAATGACCTGACATTCAAATGCTTCTCCCCTTCAACCATGGACACTTGAACAGCCAGCACTGTGCCGCCCAGTTGTTTGGAAACAACACCACCACCGTAGACAGAGTTAATCGGAGCCCATGGCCCATCCTTCGTCAGTGACATCTGAAAGGGCTGCCACTGCTCCTGGATCGGCAAGTCCGGGACTTCATCCAGAGGTTCCAATCTTCCATCAGCTCCAATCTTGCCAAACTGGTGGAATACACTGAGGTGAGCAGTGCCATGGTCGCCAGACACCTGCAGATAAATAATTTGTCAGATGCTGACATTGCACAGAGAACGACTTGCTGACCTGTGATGATGGTGATATGATGCACACTTACAGGCTCAAGATTGGAGGAGAGCCAAGAGTGGCCTGTGGTGGAATTTTTGTGTGTCGAATACTCGATTTCCGCCATATTCACGCCAGGCTTCGCAGCCCAAGTGAAACTGAAAAGAACCAATCCTGCAGCAATGAAGAAAAACGAAAAATCAGCTTAGCTTATACAAAAGCAAACTCAGGAAAGTGACGCTCATGATGGACATACCTGTGAAAGCGCTTCGCTCCACTGCAACACACACCGTCTCTCCTTCCTGCGAGTAAAGTAGCAATCTTCATAGGTAAGATGCTCAAAATCAGAAAGGAGAAACCTATGCTGCAGCCACAGCATTACCTCCAGCGTGCCCTCGAAGAGAAAAACCTCGTTCCAAGAAACCAGCCACGAGTTCCCAGCACTTGCAGGAACCTTCATGCTTGTACGTGCATGCTGAGTGCACTGAAACCCATTGACATCAATGGCTGAGGCCAACGAGACAGAACAGACGAGCTCCTCTGCATTAGAGATCAGCTCCTTAGGAATCTGCAGCAGTTTCAGTAGAATAAAAACCATGTTTAAAAGTACAGAAGCTGGTAGCTTTACTTTCATTAACAGACACGAGTATCGACCCACCTGGAGTTCGCCGATACCAAATGCAAGAATGCAACCTCTTTGGACGATGCGGTTTTGCTCTGGTGACGGATGTAAAGAACTGGTCTCTGGTGGCACCACAATGCAAGCCTGGCTGCCAGACGGCAAGCAGAACATTCTAGCCTCCGACTTCTTGTCTAGCACTCGGAAGAACAGATCAATGCCAGATGAATTGTGCTGCACGATGTAAGCAGGCCGCTCTGTTGCATGTGTGTACTCTTCTGTGTCCCTTTCCTCATCCTTATCATGCTCGATCTGCAGTGAACAAAGAACACAAGAGAGGAAGCATGGTAAGGCCTTGTACCTCGCATCAACTAGCAAGACTTGTGTCATAAACCTCGACTCTCACCATGTTGATGACCCTTTCTGCATCCTCCTTGGCTTCTAGGAGCTTCAGCCAGTCTGCGTACGCCTCTCCAAAGTGATTCACGTTCATTGACGATAGATTGATGTTCACCTTGCTGTTGGACACCACTCGACAAGTTGACAGTGGTGGCTCAAGGCCATCCTTCCCAGCCAACTCAGCCCTGCACCACATCGGTGCGCGCAATAGAAACCAGAATGACGTGTTTTCAGAAACGAAAATGAGGATAACAATTAAGGCCTTCAAACCACCGGCAAAAGCATACCTGACCATCCCATGCCAAGGCTCCAAAAAGGGCTCCCATGCATCTTGCTGATTGTTGAAGGCATCCACACAGCAGCCAGCGGACACCTGATGGACATCACTGGTGCCATAGTGGAGTGACTTCACGACCAGTTTGTCAAGGCTTATCTTGACGAGTGGTGTCATCTGGCGAGCAAGACATGACCACACATTCATTGTAAAACTCCTTCT